TTAAATATTTTTCCAAATGCCCCAACATGTGCTCCGGTAGCCGCTCGTCTGGGGAGCCGCTCTCGTGCACGTGCTGTACAAAATGCTGAACATGACAGACAGCTCAGACGGCTGTAGGCGCTTTAATGCGGCTCTGAGTTGGCCACCTGGACGTAGCATGTGCTGTGGGCTGCCCTGTAAGCAGCCTAAACAATCTGCCCCAAATGCCTTGAGCTGTTGTCTAACTTTCTGCTCGATTCACTGGTTTATTTATTTAAAACTTTCGGGTTATTCACATATGTACATACATATCTTGTGCCCGAAGTTATGCTAAAAATAAAAATAAATAATTCAATTTGTTTATTTGCTGCCAATGACTGTACAGTCGGGACTGTCAATGTGTGACTGTCATGTAGTATTTAATAGAAAAAGTAAAGCTCATATTATATTTATATTTATTTTTGTGTCAACTGAAGATTGGCCCGCGGCAGGGCGATGTCAGCCGTTGGCCAACGAGATATTAACAAAATGGTCTGCCTTCAGCTGAAAGGGATAACGGAAATATTTTGCTACAGCAAGAAACGAGCGAGAACGAGATGGAGCACAAGAACAATAGCTGGCCATGCCCGGATCCAAATAGCAAGCGTTGTCCTCGGCTCGAGAGCATAACAAAAATTCCAATAAATTCAATGCGACACAACAGACACTTGGGAGAACTTTAGGGCATGTCACAGCAGCTAACAGTTGCTCTGTGTGGGTGTGTGTGTGGGCGTGGCTGTTATAGAGCAGGGGCAGGGATCTAGTCGCTACGCTGCTGTTTGTCTCTGTCATTTTCTGGGAATGTGTGGCAAAGTTCAAACCTTTGACATTTTGTGTGCCAGCATGCATTACTCATACGCAACGGCGGCAGGCCAAGGCGGCCAAGAGGGCCAAGAGGGCAGAATATGAAGTAACTTTATGGCAAATAGCTGCAAAGCTTTACAAAGTTTTCCAATATACTCGAGGGTTACTTATAAATTTAATGAAAATCTCGGCTAATAGTTTTGCACAGCGCATAAATAAAGTTGGCGTTGCCAGGGCGCGTCCGCCTTGAAGCTGTTTAAAAATATGCTTTGCCCAGCTCCAACTCGCACCCCACACCCCACACCCCACACATCCCAGCTTCCAATTCCAGCACCCCCTACGCTCTTATAGCATGTGTCACAATTTATATGCAAACTTATCAACGTCGCAATGTCTCTAAAGCATCGTTTGCATGCATGTAGCCTGGGCACCAAAACGAAGAAAAAAGAACAAGAAGACAAAAACGAAAAACTTCAATGTGCTGTTAATTCCCAGCTCTATGCAGGAAGTGCGACAGCTTCTCCTTCTGCTCTCCATTTACACTCCTGCTCCTGCTGCTGCTCCTGCTCCTGCTTCGGCTGCTGCTTCTGCTGCTGCAGCAGCCTTTGATAGCAGAATGTGACGACGACGACGACGACGTCGACGCCGGCGTCTGGCACTCGGCACTTGGCAACATAAGTTTGGGGATTTTTATTTGCCGTCTGCCGGAAAATATTGCTCGCAGGCTAACACATGACAAACGCAGCCGTTTGTCAGGGCCAATATGCCACTGCATGGGGCCACGGACCGGAGGACTGCCACTCAGACCAAGAAGAGCTTTAAAAACTTTTTGCTTTAAGTTCTTACAATTATTTGCATAAAAAAAATGAAATTATATATATATATATATATATAGAACATAGTAATTATTGTTTGTTTCATTTTTACTCGGAAACAAGGCTGAGGCTTAACAAACTTTTGAGGCACAAAACTTGCTGCTGCTTTGTTGTTTGTTATAAGTTGTTGTTGTTGTTGCTGTTGTTGTTTGTTGCTTGCTGTATTTGAGTTGTTTACCCCTTGTTCTTGTTAATGCTGTTAACTTTTAGCTTAAGTGCCACTTTAAACAATTCATTTAATGCGCACAGAAGTGGGCAAAGGGATATAATTTGATATTAAGCTAATGAGCATAGCTGGAGCTGGCACAAGGATGCCAGTTCTCTCAGCATAGTTGAATTCTAAGTAAATACCCTAAGCACATTGAAAA